CCAGATGCAAACGAAAAACTTTGGAGGGGTAAAATCCCATTAAAAAAAAAAATCACTGGCATGTCTCAAGGGTCCAGGCAGTGGTCCAGTGATTTCGCTTCAGCAGATCCCTGTTGGGACTGGCTGCACTGAGCCAACAGTGGGTACCAAGCCTGTAAACCGGGCCCCGGGAGGCCTCAGGGTGCAGCATCCACCGATTGTGCCGTGTTTTGGAGCGGAGCAGACGAGTCTGGACGTTGCTTTTGGGACTCCTTGGCTGCCTCCGAGCCTGAAGCAGGGGAGTGGTGAGCAGCACGTGCAGGCAGCCGGTGGGCAGGTGGCTGGAGATAAACCCACGGACACATGCAGGAAGCTGGGGCTGGGCCTGAGCTGGGGGGTTGAAACCGCTCCCCAAAACCACACCGCGTGCACGACGGGCTGCCACGCAGCGCTCCCGAGGCGAGCGCCTGCAGCATGGCCTCCCTCGCCAGCCCCCAGGCTTCCTCCGGCTACCGGGGTTGCTCTCACACTGTTGGTAGAGGGTTTTTTCTCACTGGCTTGTCACTAGCAGTTGATGTGAATGTCTCCCCCTTTTTTTTTTTCTCCCCTCTCCCCCCTTCCTTTAAAAAGTAAAAGGCTGCAGGGGGTGGTTGTGGGGGCACTGGCAGTGCTGCTGGGGGACGTGAGTGTGGAGCAGGTCAGGGGATGTGTGACAGCCTGGGGTCCAGGTGTGTGTGAGCACCCACCTGCAGTGGCCTGAGAGAGAGCCTGGTGTAGAAGGCAGGGCTGCATCGCTGGATAGGTGGAGATAAGAAGAGGGGAACAAAAGTCCAGGGTTTAGGAAGGAGGAGGTGCTGAGAAGTTTCTTCCCAACAGAAGTGCAGGTTGGGAAAGAGTCCTAAAGGTGGTGGCAGGCACACATGGGGTTTGGGACTGAGAAGGGCTGGCAACCTTGTCGTGAAATGCAGCACGTCTCCTTTCCTTCTGCCTCATCGGCTGTGGCTTTGCCAGTCCTTACTCAGCCTGTGTCAGCTCCTTGTACAAAGCTTTCCACAGCTTCTCCTGTACAAGCTCCTAAAAGACCCGGTAATCACCTAATGCTGTAAGGTGCATAGTTTGTTTCTGTTTTCACTTAACACTTAACGGGTGGTCTATGTTGTCATCCTCGCCATGCAGTGGGAGATCTAACTCTGCAGCTACTTATGTAGGAGCACATGGTGAGCAAGAGTAAGTGCAAACTTTCTAATTGTTATTCTGTCAGAGCTTGCTTCCCTCCTGAGCAAGAGCACTGCTTTGACCTCATCCTTAAGCCCTTGTGTATTTGTGTACCTAGATGTCAACTTGTGACTCAACTCCATTTTGATGCCTGGAGAGAGAGATGCTGTTTGTCTGAGCCACCTTTAAGCAGTAAGCTTGACATCATTTAAAATGCAATGTAACTGTATTCCCCGCTGGCCTGTGGCTTGACATTAGCCATGACACGTGCCTGCACTTAGACATCTTGTTTTAAAACCCTTCCATATTTTATTGGACTGCTGAAATTCAGATTGGTAAAACACAGGTATATGAATATTGAAAAGATGCTGTGCAGCTCATGGCAGGCACTGGGTAATCTGTAAGGTTAACAGAGTGGGAATTAGCGAAATGTTTATTATTTGAGCTTTACTTGGCCTGAGGCAGCTGAGCACGACTGCTCCCTCAAGCCTGGCAGGCTTGGCTCTGCCCTGTTCCCATCATCAGCCCATCCACTGCAGTGGTGCGACCTTGGCCTCAGCCCCCCAGACGACAGCTCAGTGCTGATGAGGGGCAGAAACTACATGCTGGCGGTGCCTAAGGGACTGGCTTTCTGTTTGTGTGTGTTGTGCAAATATTGAAGAGGCAGTAAGCCCTCCTCTAGCGATTAAAAACCCTGTACTGATCCTGTTCACATGAATGGATGCTCACTTTTAACTGCCACTTGCTCATTATGCTTCATATCTCTTTGACCTTTGTTTCAATAGGCTTTGTATCTTTTGTCTTTTTCTCTTTCTTTTTAATCCAGAAAGCTGTTGCAAAGGTTATTATTTAGAAAGTGGTTTGTACCTTTTTTTTTTTTTTTTTTAAAAAAAAAATGGAAATAAAACATAGAAAGGAAAAAACATGAACTAATTTTCTTGGTTTGTTTCTAAACATTGGACTTTATCATTGTCTCAATACTTATTTTTCCAGAAATTATCACTGCCAGACTATGTCTAGGAGGATTCCCCTCCTTGAACTTTAATCCATTACCTGGGGAGCCAGAGGCCAGGCTGCCCCAGATAAGCACTGTGTAGGCACTTGGGCAGCTCCACAGTGTCAGCCAAGGTTGACCATGGCTGACACAGAGCTACAGCCAAGTCTCCTGCACTCTTGACTTCTCTTCCATAGTCCTCTATGACTCCTGCTCGAGCTCCTCCTGGTCTGGGGAGTTTATTAGTGCTGGAGAAATATTGGACTTGAGATAACAGTGTGAACATGCCCTGCTTTGGTACGGAAAGGGGAGAGTCAGGGCCAGGATCCTCAAAGCCGCCTTCAGCAGCATCTCAGATATCCCCGGGCTTCCTCGCTCTGGCTGGCTCTGTGCTGGGCTGCTCACCTTCCTCAGGTTGTATTTCTGATCTGGGCCCAGCGCTGGAAAACCCCGCACTGCTTCTGAACATATCCAGCTCGAGTCCAGGGCGTGCTGGGGCAGACTGCTGCATTTACACAGAAGGAGCTAAATTACTGCTAGAAACAAATTGCCTCTAGATGCTGCATTTTAGCCACCAAGTCTGATGTGATTCAAGTTTGTTTTGTGTTGAACCAACTCTGGTGTAAAATATTGTCCTGTAACTGTTTAGAAGAAAAACTCTAGGAAGCTAATTTCAGCTTGTTTGTTGGTTTAATATACAGTGTTGGTCAAATAACTTAATCTCTCTGTGTCTATTTACCCTATGTATAAGAGGTTTTATAATCCTAAAAAAATGTGGTGAAGGTTATTGTTTATAAAGTGCTTTGAACCTTATTTTTAAAACAGTAGAAAAAGGAGGGGAAGAAGGAAAACCATGTAGGATCCTAAAATCTTAATTTATTTCTAAACACATGATTTTCAAAAAAATGAATGCAAGCTCCAAGTTCAGACAAGGTGATGAAACTACTGTTTGGAAATGTGGGTTTTTTTTCTGGCTGTTGGGCTCTCAGTGGGAACAGGGATTGTATCATCATCTGCTTGAGAATTTACAATTACATTACCTAGTCTCCAGGCACAGCTTTTCAGTCATGCTTTATACAAACTGCACACTTGAGCAGTGCAATAGGCCATCGTCGTTAACTATTTCTGCCAAGGAGACTTCCTCATGGTGGTGACTGTGTTACTGCCTGAATGTCAGCTGCAAATTTCTTCTAGTAAAATCATCAGCATGGCCCAATGGGCTACGGAGAGACCTCAACACACAGAATGGTCTCAGTGTCAGCACTGGAGTAACTCAGCACCTTGCAGCACTGCGCCGAGTGGTTCCACTACCCCGCGTCACATGTGGTTAATAAGAATTGCCATACTTTGTTCACCTTAGGAAGGAGGTGAATCATACCAATTCTTTTCAATTTGTCTTCATTGAAGGGCTTCACAGGCTCTTGATCATTCTTGTCTTTTTCTTTTGAACTCCCTTCAATTCTTTGTACAAAGCACGTTGCAGATTAATTTTCAAGTGATTTTTTTTTAATATATTTTTTTTTTTTTTTAATAACTGCAATACAGCTTTTCTTTTGGGGAAGACCCGAAGCTGCATATTGGATCTATAGTTACTTAGGCTTTTTGACCTGAATGGTTTTGATTTTTTTTTTTTTAAGCTACATTTTCAAACTTACTACATGTTTACGAACTGATACGGGGCAGTTTCATCAGTTTTACCTGCCCAAACCCAACAATACCCCTGTGCCCTGCTTGTCATAGTATAAACATATGTGTTGGTTAGGAAATAAATATCAACATCTTCTGAGTAATAATTTTATTGAGCTCTCAATTAGGGTAGAAGTAGATTTTTGTCCCTCAGAAGAGTTTTAACACTTCTTTTAAAAAACAATGAAAAAAAAAAATCTTCTGGGGGCGATCCATCCAACAACAGGCAGCCAGTTGAGGTTCCTGTGATGGGAATTCAGATTTAAGACCTTCCTCTCAAACCAAAACCACATCAGGGTATCTCATGGACATGTCTTGACATCTGGGGCTAAAAGTCTGTCTCTCCTGCCCATTGTTCCCTTCTCATGATTAATGGCCTTCAGCATCCCCAAACTGGGAGCCCAAGAGAACAGTCACAGAGAAGACACTGTAGCTTTATGGTTACAATATATAACCTGGGATACAGGAGATAAATTCTCAAATTCTTCTTCTGAATAAAGGGTAGTGTCAATCCTTCTTTACATTTAACACAAAACTTTGTCCTGAGAAGCCCTTCCCCAAAATGTTGTCCAAATGGATGTATTTTCTCACACACAGAAAAGTTTTAGTTGATGAAGGAATTCCTAACCAGACCTACTAATGAATCCCTGCAGGAGATTCTGCTGGGTTTTCCCAGAAAATACATGCTGTGTGTGAGGCTTTCTTGCAGTAACTGTAGTGTTAGTAATCCTTGGTCAAGGCAGAGCCTGTGCTTGCTCCTTGACCTGTGCCACAGGGATCAAGAGCCTGGGCTCTGCAGGTGGTAAACTCTGGGTAAAATGTCCTGTGTTGGTTGAGGGAGGTTGCAAACATTTCCATCCCTGGAGAAACTCCGACTCAGCTGGCTGAGGTCCTGGACAGCCTCGTCTAACTGACCCTATTTAGAGAGGACCTGCAGTGGTCCCTTCTGACCTAAGTAATCCCATGATTCTTATTCAGATTTCCATCTCCTTTGCACATGGATAGACTTGCCCTCACACTGGCTATATTTTCAAGAAGCGCCATGCAGCACTGCCACAGTTATGCTGTTGAGCACACAGTGACACAAATGGCCTTGGTTGTTGATGTATCTGATGTTTCTGTACAGATGCTGCAACAGTTCTTGGACTGACAGACCCAAGACTCTGCTACTTACTGGATGGCTTTCTCTTCATTTACGCAGTCGTCGTGACAGCCCTTTTTGTGAAAGCAAAGGTCAGTCTATCCAAACACGGATGCATTTGGCTTTGGTGCTGTAATGAAGCTGGGCTTAGCTGCAAGGTGGAGGTGGAAAGGAAGCATGCCTCTTAGATTAAGACTTTTTGGTTTGTTGTTTTTTTTTTTTTTAAAATTTTCCTCCTTTTCTGGTGCCAATCTGAGCAGCCTGCAGGAGTTCTTTCTGAGGGCTCATGTATGGAGGTGAAGAGCATATATGAGAGTGTTTTGATGCTACAGTTATGGATGCTGTCAGAGATTCTGGGTATTGTAGCTGGGAAATGCCTGATCAACAGTGATGTGGTTTCTTCTGCTGCCTTGTCATTGAAAACAGAGGAGGGGATATACAGAAAATTAAAGATAAATGCCAAGCCTGTGAAGGATATATTAAAAGGTCTCAAGAGGGCAGACATTTTTGCTAGAATGGGTGTGATTATGCAAATGATATAACCCAACAACCACAGGAGAGTCAGGGGGTTGGGACAGACACAAATTACTTGATGTTCAGCATCTAGGGAGACACATGCTGGCTTTGGTGCACTTGCACGGAAGCAGCTAACATGGTGCGACAGAGGCACGTACATTTCCAGACATGCAGGTGCCCTGAGAGCTCTGCTAATCACAGGAGTGGAGCATTGTGCTTCTCCCTGGACAGGGCACTGCAGTGCAGTGGTGCTTTCAGCCAAGCCTAAGCAGGCCAAAAGGTTTTGTGGCCGCTGCCTACACATCTGTCCCAGCCTCCCTGAGATCACCAGCAGGAGCCCTGACAAGGTGATGTTGTGCTGCTGCTGGTGCCCCTCTGGCTCTGCGGTGGGATGGTTTCTCAGGGCTGCAAAGCCAGTGCTGAACCTAGAGGGAGGGATAGATTCTGGAGGAAACGAGCAGAACCTGGTAATGGTGGAGGAGAAATCTTTTTTTGTTGCCAGTGTAAATCCTGACTGCAGATGACAGCGCTGCTCTGGGACTGCAAGTCTTTGAGACTGCTCAAGGGATGAGCTGCTGGGACACACAGCGTGGGCCTGTCCCCGCCCACAGGAGCTGGGCACCTTGCTCAGTGGCGGGCAGGCATGCTGCAGCTGAGGAGGGCTCAGCAAAGCATCCGAGGAGTGTGAGCCTGGCACTAGGAGCTGCTGTGGCACGCTCGCCAGCCGCTTTGCCCCCCCCACCCAGAGCGTGTCTTCAGCGTGCTGCGGCGGGGCAGGAACTGGTGCGGTTTCTCCCACTGGGGCTCCCTGCAGGGGCAGAGCAGGAGCTGGAAATGGCTCCTCGGGTCGGGGAGCACTTGCTGTCTGCTGGTGCCATGCCCAGCACTCAGTTGCAGCAAGTAACCTGCTGCACGAGGGAAGGCGGCAGAAGGAAGGGGAAAGCCATGCCTGCGGTTACGCCAAAGCCTCACAGCTGACAGCAGCAGAGGGCTGCAGCTAAAACACCGCCATAAAGCACCAAGAAGCTGGCGGGGCATTTTCCGAGGAGCCCCTGTCTTATCTCAAACCCTAGGGCTTCTTTATAAGTCTTCCAAACTGTGTCATATCTCTCCCCTCACCTCCTGGCCAAAGGAATTGCATATGGAGGCTTTTGTAAGGGCACAGTCTTGTCTCTGTTGTGAGCTTTTTATCTGTGGGCCACATGGACAATGCATGTGAACATTTAGGTTTTGCTGCAAGAACCATGGGTGAGATGCTTGGTAAAATTACTGACCCCACCAAAGATTCAGTGGCAATAACGGCACTTTCATGAAGAAACTTGTAATTACTACATATATGATTTTTAAAAAAGAAAAGTCAAGTTTATCCTATGCCTAAAACCAAACCTATCTAGAAAGTTGTTTTTAATGAAGATTTTTAACATATGATAGTAACTCAAGCAGGTTAAAGCAATACAGAATGTAGTTTGACACTGTTTCTTGAAAGGACAAGAACACTGCTCTCTGACGCAAACCTGCCCTTTTTTTCTGAAAGTTTGGATTTCAGGCCAAACTGAGAGAATTAACTGCTCATAAATATCTTAGTGTCTCTCTACTCATGATATGGTCTCTCTTCCAGCTTAGCCAGGCCTCTGAACCACAGCTGCAACCAGGCCAGGATGATGTGTATAACGTAAGTAACTACTGGTTTTTTGTTTGTTTTCACATCTGCTACCCAGACAGACGTTTTGGGGCACTTATAGACACTGAATTATCTGTGGATCAGAAAAACTTTGGATGGCCCAGCTCCTGAAAGTGCTATACCTACATGTGCAGCACAGCGCTTCTATGGATAAAAGGGCAGCGTCTGTTTGCATTTGTCTGGCTGGATGCTAGAAAGGTATATGGGCAGTAGGTTCCTGATTTGATCCACCGAGCTGAAGAAACACCATGAACCCAGAGTGTTTCAGAGGCAGTGCTCAGTGTGCTGCACCATGTAACATGCCTGCGACAGCTCTGTGTGTGTGTGTGTGTGTGTGTGTGTGTGTGTGTGTGTGCACAGCCACCGGACTGTTACAGATGATGTGCAGAGCCTAGTTCCTCACCTGGCCCTCAGCAGTTGGTTGCTGCTCTCACTGATCGCTGATCCTTGGGCGGCTCACGGGCTCGACCCCACCCCTGTTGCCAATGTTATTTGATGTGGGCTGGAGAAAGGGCACATGCCCAGGAATGCTGTGTTGTCACCTTTGGGTGCCTGTAGCTCTTGTATCATCACGTGTGTGGAGGCTGAGTCCTCACAGCCCGGCTGTCTCCAGCCTGTAGCCTTCCTGTTGCCCTGCAGCGAGACCTGTTGTCATCCTTCCGCTGTGCCCTGAGCACAGCCAGCTCAGATGGCTCTTTGAGCAGTGAAAGAGGACAGAGATAAGATCCTGTCTGTCCTTCCTAGCTAAATTGCTCATTCATGACAGCATGACCTCTAGCTATTTTTGCTGTGTCTAGTTGTATTTTAATGTTTTTTCTCTCACACTTTTGACCAGAATCACATCCTGTGATGAGTTCTACTGTTTAACTGTGTCATGTATGAACATCAGTTTAAGAAGTGTTGCCTGTCACCTTTCAGGTAGCACTCTGTCAGCTGTGTTATTCTGACCTGAAATCTCTCCTTTGCCCTCTTCCAAGGTAACCTATCCCAGCTGTGTTGGGCATAAAATTTCTGCAGCTTTTTGATGTAAGTTTAGATGAGCTGCTCTACAAGAAAAAAAATCAAGCTTCTGGATCTTCACCCACTAGGAAAGAAAACACACAAGTCAGAGTCCCTCCCCCTCATGCTCTCATTTTCAGCTTATTTCTACTTAAGAAAGGTTCTTGATGCAATGGCTTGCAGTTTTGTGCTGCACAGACCACTCTGTCATTTCTGTGACTTATTCATAGACATCTTTGTTGCATTAAGGGGTAAAGATGTTTAGCTCAGTTACAGTACTCATGAAGGTGGACACCAAGCTGGGTTCCGTTTCTTTCCATGCGTTAAGTTGAGATCTATTTTCTTATGATCCTAATGTCCATCACTGCTTCTTGCTTTCTTGTTTCAGAAACTGTCACGTGGACAGAGAGATGAATATGATGTTCTGGGGGCAAAGCGAGGTGGAGACCCTGAGCTGGGCGGGAGACACCAGGTAACTTCTTTCCACACATGAAACTTTTTTCTTTTAAACTGGTTCCTTCCTTCTCATGTCTAACCGCTGTTTAGACATGCAGGCAGTCATCGTGTGTTTGCTACGCACAAGTGCTTTCCTGGAGAGGGAACGACAAAATCTGTGTTGTAATTCAGGAGGCTGGTAGCGTGGCGGGGACGAGAGTGTAAATCTTCCCCCCTCCCCTTTGATCTTTGCCCCTCGCAGCCCCTCCGTCGCTTTGCTGAGAGCTTGCAGCCACCCAGAATAGGAAGTGACACCCAGCCTCGGGGCGGATGTGGAGCAGGCAAGGCAGGAGTGGGTGTTTCACGAGAGCTCGGTGCACATGATGCCGCCAAACAAGTGCCAACAAAGTAAATCAGCAGCCAAAACAACTGTTTCTGCTGCAGAGCCCAACAGTTTCAAAGGAAAAGGGATGGGAAATCTTCTGCATCAGCATGTAGGGCTTGCCTGCAGGTGACAGCTGTAGGGATTAAACAGAGAAGAGCTAAGTTTTATCAATTATTAAAATTAGATTAATTTTCCAGAGAACAGGTTGTCTTAACAGAGCCTTGTGGGTGGAGGCAAGATGGGCTGTAATGGTCACAGCCTGTCCCTAGGGCTGTAGCTGTGCCAGAGCAAGTGCCCATGCACATATAAGGTGGTGGGGGAGGCTGGGAGTGCAACACCTGGGCAACTTTCTTCATTTGTTTTACAGCAGAGAAGAAAAAACCCTCATGACACCGTCTACACTGTGAGTAGAGAGAGCTGGAAGGAGAAGAAAGCTGCTTTCAAAGACCTGACTTCCTTTCTACCCCTCTTTTTTTGCTGGAAAATTTCTGCACCCTTCTCTATGATGGGAGAAAAACATTGACTCCCTGGGCAGATGGGAAAAATATTTTGGATCGAGATACCTGCTGATCCCTTTATGTTAACTGTTAGTGACTAACCAATCTGCCTGCATCCCATGTGACTGATGCTGCAGTTTTCATGTGCTTGTTCTCCAGCCTCTCTGACTGCTCCCTGACAAAGGCCAAATACCAGCGCATCTAAGAGTGGCTGCTTAGGAACCTCTCTATTTAATTGATAAACCCTGGCTAAACACGGTGGCCTGTGCTCCAGAGGACACATACATGAATGCTAACACTCTTTCTGGGTGTTCGGTGCTTGCTGAGAAATGAGCTCGTTTCCAAGACTGGCTGTCAGCGTTATTGAATCAGATGCTCTAGTCATTTGGGAACTGCTTCCCTGGATGCAGGAAGGAAGAGGTCCTCTTTCTTAACCTTCACCCTGCAGTGTTCCAATTTCCCTTTTCTCTGGGCCTTAGCTGCACATTCGGGTTTATCTCCTGAACAAATGCTGCTTACAAGCTTTTCTTCAAAGAGCTTTGATTGCAGTCCCTGGTGCCATGCTAGATAAATGACTTGGTTGATGGCAGAGCTGTATTAATATAAATGTTTGGAGATGAGGTGATATTGATATGCTAAGCAGATTTGATCATGTATAGATCAACTTAAATGCAGGCTGGTCAAGTCCCACCACTGTCCCTTCTTCTTGGGACTATACTGAAGTTTTGAAGGCAAGGCAGCCCCAGAAGCACAGGCTGGGGCGCAGTCACCCAGGGGCTGGCTTGGCTTTTCTAACAAGATGCTGACTCTTTCCCCCTCTCTGCTTGCAGTCACTGCAGAAGGACAAGATGGGTGAGGCATACAGTGAAATCGGCATGAAGGGAGAGGTGAGTCCTACTTTCCTTCCTGGGGAAAGCCTGGGATAAAACATCCATTGTGGCCACGCCCTTGCAGAGCTGTAGCCCCAGCTGCACGTAGCTGCCTTGTTTGGTCCCTGTGTTGCACAGCACCTACAGGCACAGCTGAGAGCAGTGACCTACTTCCTGTAGTAACCGATGTGTTTGGTGCTGCAGTAAATCCGATGTGTAGCTACAGCGTTCTAGTAGCCCTAGAACAAGGTGGAAGTTGGGCAGTGGGCTTTGGCCCACCGGTGTAAGAACACAGCCCCTACCCCAGCAGTGCCCCTGGGTGGATTGAGTAATGTTACAGGAAAACATTTCAGCTTTTGGACAGAAAAATTCTGACAGGTGCCCCAGCTGAGGAGGCAGAGATGGGTGAGGAATAGTTGAAGGAAACATCTGGTTTCAACCACTGCAACATCTGTGGCCCAGCAACTCCCATTAGTTGGGCACGTTCCTCCAGGGCCATTCTGAGCTGGAGGGTCACAGTTTCCCCCCTACGGGCTGCCAAGGCTGGCCTGCTTTATAGGCACAGGTGAGCATTGGCAAGCTCCTCCCTGTGCCTGTCTTCAGACAGGTATGGGGCAAACATTCTCCTTCCTCCACATCCACTCTGACATTTAAGAAGGAAGACTTCAGTTACGTCTCAAGCTAGCAGCAAACAGAGTTTTAGCTTTGTGCACAAACTGCTGGGGGAGAGAAGCTTGTGTTGAGAACAAACCATCTGGGGACACTGTTTAAGGCAAAATGAAAAATTGCTGTGACCTACACAAATTCTATTTTATGTCAAAGTGTCTCATATATAACCTTTCACTTCCCTCCGAAATGTGAAAAAAAGGGCATTGCAAAACAAAGTTTAGTGTTGAGAAATGCTGAAGCAACACTGACATTTAATCCCCTCCCCTTTTTTATTCTAATGCCCCTCTGCCACAGTCAAGCTCAGATTATGATCTGTGAGCTTAGAAAGTCACACCTTGTTTCTGTGAATGCTTCTATATTACTGGAGGGGTGGGAACACCAAAACCCTTGTCTCATTCTAGATACATGATCATTTAACAGGCTGCTGCAGTTTTAATTGCGGTAGGCACTACTCCTTGCCCCCGTTTATGTTGGTCAGGACCCTGCTGCAGGGGGGCTGTTATGACAAGCCCTGGGCTTGACACGAGGCTCCATCCAGGGGGCTGTGAGCTCTGTGTCCCTGGTTCTCACCTGGAAATCGCACTCTCGTGTGTGACTTGGCTGCCCTGGGAATGCAGTGGCGAGTGGCTTCAAGGGGAAGGTTTTTCTTTGTACCTAGCTGGTCCGAGTGACCTTGTTTGGGTGCTCTACTTGCACCACAACAGCCCCAGTACCTATTTTGCTGAATTCTGTGTGACTTTGTCCTCAGCCAGCCTTATCTGCAGTTCTTCTGAATGTTTAGAGCGCTTACAGAATGTGTGCTGCAGAACTTACTTATCCGTGGCTCCTACTTATCCTCCAATAGCAGACAGAGGCCCTCGGACACCAGCTGACACGCAGCAACTCAAAAATACAGCCCTGTTTCTTCAGGTGTGGCTTCAGCTCATAAACCAATCGGTGTCTATAGGAACGCTGCCAAATCTCTGTATGTACAGCAAATCAAAGAAATAGCAGCTTTATAACAGTATGACAGGAAAATATGTCAGCAAGCTATGATAATTTCCTTTTATTTCCAGTCTTTGAGCTCTCCTTCGCAGCCCTTGCAGCATGTCTGGGCTGCTCCAGACATTAGGAGGAGCTGTCCCTCTGGTGCCAAGGGTGTCCAGGCCGAGCACAGCTGCTGCCCCTCAGTACAGGATGGGGGAAGTCAGGGGTTTCTTTCCTTTTGCGTAATCAGGAAAGCACTCATTGATTGATGCTTCTTTTTCTTCTCCAAAGCAGCAGAGGCGGCGAGGCAAAGGGAATGAAGGTGTCTACCAGGTAGGCAACACATCCAGCAGCTGCTCCCCTCATCTGTCTTCACGGCTAAGTTGTAGCCTGCAGTTAGGTATCCAAGCGCGTTGTTAGCGACACGTGATGAGGCAGAGCTTTCCAAGCACCTTTCTGAGGGGAGTTACCCCACGGCTGGCACGTTGATAAAGTGGCTGCAAGTTCTAAATACAACTGGCAGGGACACTTGTTTAGCTGCTCTGGTAGGAACAGTTTCCCCAGTCCTACATCTTGGAGAACCACCTTTGGCTGTGGCAGACATATACAGTTCTGTCTCCAAATTGTTCACTGATGAAATGAAAACCCTGAGGATGCCGAACTGCTGTTGTAACTCCAAGCAGTAGTGGTTCGGCCCCTCTCACTACAGCGTACAGAGCACAAGCTGGTTAGCACCTCCTGTCCCGTGGTGCACTGGGAGGATTTCAGTGTTGCACACACATACGGGAGGGCAAGGCCTTATTCGGGCCGCAACATGTAACTCTTCCAAAATGCATTTTACTTTCTGTAGATGCCCGTACATTGCCACTGACATCTCAAAATGACAAAAGATACATTAAAAAGCATTTTCTGATGCAGCACATGCCAGGGACTTTTCCTGTAACGTGGCATATTTGTAGCTCATGGCACCTTTCTGCAAAACCTGCTCTACTGAGATAGTGCTTATCATCAGCTACCTGTGACTACCTTATCAATGTACTCTATACGCCAATAATATTCATAGCAGAGGAGTGAAGAGTAGCCACAAGTTCTACAAGCAGGCACCAGGTGTCTTACTAAATCCTCACTCATGGGAGCGCCGGTTACCTCTGCCCTGGCAGTCTCCTTCCTGGGGTTCACAGCCACCTGAAGCCCCACTGCCAACTTACCTGGAGTTGCACCTGACTGACTGCTCTTCCAAATTAAAGAGCAGTCCAGAGAAAAAAAAAGTTCATGATTTGATGTCTATTCCTTCCGTTAGCAGGCAAAGCTCACTCTAGCATCAGTTAGCTCTTAATAGTCAATACTATGCAAATAAAATGTACTTTGAAGACCAGTGAGGATGAGTTGCTGTAGTCATACGTTCGTAACGGTTATTCAGGATGTACCTTGCCTATTGACACCACAGGCATAAGAATCACTCATGATTAAAACCTCTGTAGGAAAAAAAAAATTAGAATTATGGTACAGAGCCCCTTCCATCCTCTTTCTGTCCAGTCAGCAAGGGAGAATGAAGCACTTGCACCTCACCTGTTCTTCTCCTTTCTAGGGACTCAGTACAGCGACCAAGGACACTTACGATGCTCTCCAAATGCAGCCCTTGCCACCCCGCTAAGCAGGAGTCAGTGAGGGGGTGGGCAAGAGTGAGAGATGCCCACCTGTGCTGGAGAGGAGAGGAAGGAAAGCCATGGTCATCCAAAACAAGCCCTGTGTATTTTCTCAGTGCAGTGATCTACTTTTGTCGGTGCACAGAGGCAGTATGTCTGGGCTCAGCTGGTCCCTTTCTCCCTTCCCTCCTGAATCATGTAACTGCAAGCTTTAGCTATTAAAATGTACATATCTGTAAATTTGTTTCCAATCATAGTGGTTATTAGGCTGATTTTTTTAAGATTTGTGTTGTGGGACAAGACCACACCTACTAACAAAGCTGTTTCTGTAGCTCTTACTTGCCTTCCAGGGGTGTCAAGATATGCAGTTATGGTTTCACTGCATTTAAAGAACTTGTAAAGATAGGGCTGTACTTCTTTCCTGTAGTATTTATCTTAAGACTATTGACACAGGCCAGATGATAAACTTTTTGCTTTAAATTTACCTTTTCAGTAAAGGTAACAACTTTTTTCTTTGATTGTAAAAAGTGATGTGATGTTACCATGGTGAAGGACAGAGGCTGAATGCCAGCTTTTCAATATGAAGAAAATGAGCACTAAGCTCCAAAAAAAGATCAGGCAATGGCCTTGCCCCTCATCCAGCACCTGGAGCTAAAAAAGAGCCAGGTGACTTGCGTAAGAGACTTCTCAGAAGGCAGAAGATGCACCCATAACAACGAAAATGAGGAGAATGAACTCTGATAAAGACAGAAAAAGCCTGGAAAAAGCCTGGAAAACTCACCCTGGAGAATCCCATCTGGCTAAAGGGTTTGGCTGAAACGTCTACCCCCTCATATTAGCAACAGCTACACCTCTCGCTGCAGAACAGGCTCTCCTTGTCAGAGCCGGTATGGCAATTCTCATGGCAGAAACAGACCTAAACTATCACTTCCTGGGCAGCAGAAACTGTACAAAAGCCAATGTAAATGCAGGTTCCAGAGCAGTCTATCATCAGGTTACCTTTAAAAGATGCTGTGGGTATCATTCCAAAGAAATAGTAGTTCAATAATGTAATGCATTTTTGATTAATTAATAAAGTTAGTGTCAAAGATATGTGTGTGTGGGTGCGCGTGTAGCAAACAGCTGTGGGAACCGGACAAATTCACTCCCAGACAAGCTGGGGAGGGCGGTATTCCCACAGGAGCTTCTAAACAGACCCTGGGAGATGGGATGGGGTGTTGGAAAAACGCTGTGAGCCCAGGTACAAAAGGGAGACTCACCTCCTGCCGCATCCTCAGTTTTGCCAGTGACTTAGAAGACTGTGGAATGAAGCCTGTAAGCAACTCAGTACAGACAAAACCAGCCCAGCACAACAAAGGGTATTGCAACTCGGGTCAGTCCCTTCCGCCAGAGGGATCAGAGCTAAAGCAAGAATGTGGGAATGAGCTGCCGCTGCCGGCACTGCCCAGGTGAGGTTCTTTTCAAGTGACTGGGTTAGCAGCAGAAAAACTTGCTGAAATTGCTGCTACGTAAATTGCAAGGCTGTGCCTCATTTCTTCAGCAGTAAAACTATATCTGCAGTAGGTGCTTGTAGCTTCTGATGAGTATTTCAAAGACACTAAATTCATGCCAAAAAAAAATTAAAAACTGAGACATCCCATGCATGGCACCGAATGTTTCTTGAAATGAATTTCATAGCTCCCTTACTGTTCTTCTGCAATGACAAGAAAAACCTGAGGGAATTGGGTGATGCCTCCAACAGCTGAGCTGAAAACTGCAGTAAAGTGGCTAGTGCAAAGCAGTCTTCTTAGTCCAAAAACAAAGAGTACTCAGAATAGCTTTCTCAAATGATAACCATATTTACAAGATATAGAAGTCAAAAAGTTTCAGCGGTCATAAAATACCAACCAATAAACACACGAAGAAATGGAGAAAAAAAACCCACAACACCTTTATGCTCTTTATGTATAAATGGATCATTACAAAAAACATCCAATGCTTGTTTCGGGGACACTCACCGTAGGTGTGAGCTGAGTCTTCCCTTTGCCTTCAGCAGGAAACTGAAGCTGTTCTCTTCTTTTAGGAGAGGAGTTGATAATACAGAAGTAGAACAAAAGCTTCAAACAGAGTGCAAAAAAACCTGGGCTCTCCTCCATTGTGACAGGACAAAGTGCATGAAAGAGCAAATCTTGTGGCCCAGTTTGATGCGTCAGGGGAATTAGCCTTCCCCCAACACACTGAAAAAACTACAAACAAGCGCATACATGTTAAAACACTTGGAAAATGGTTTAATGATGTTTACAACAGAAATGAACTGTACAATTACAGTAAGTTTAATATATATAAAAAATTACAGCAGACAAATGCATCTACACAAAATCTACCTTTTCATTCTGATTTACTGTAATCTACACAATCTCTCAATGCCCACAGCTATCTGTAGGCAACCACTGGGAAAATAATAATAATAATAATAATAATTATAATAATAATAATAATAAAGGACATCTTTAAAGAGACAGCATTTCGCCTTCCTCCTCACCCCTAGTGTGATCAGCAAGGTTTTGAAATGTGTGGGACTCTCACATTTCAGTCTCAAGAGAAGCTTGGGTTGCGTTTGGGTACGGGTACTCCCCTATGGCCCTCGATTTCAAGTGTTCTGCTGACCTGAAGCGCATAAATGCAGTATATGAGGAAGGGCAAGAGAAAAAAACCTCCCAGCCAGTGTAAGCAGGCAGTTGCACAGAGTAGTGAAACCATCAAGACCAAAAATTTGTCTTAGAAATGAAGCAAAAAGGGACTGCCCAGACGCTACAGACATTCACAAATCCTATTCTCTTTGAAAACTATTGCCGGATTTAGAATAAAGGGCTTGTTTTTCAACTCCTGATTCTTCATACAAAGGGTTAGTTTTCAAACTAGCATGTTTTGTCTTTTAACAAAATTTAAGCTACTTCCTCTTTGGCCCATCCCTTAAAAACAGTGAAAAACCCCTTAAGCTGAGAAAGAACCTCAGGTCAATAGGGAAAAAAAAAGAACATGCTGTCTCTTTAAAAAGAAAGAAAGAATCCCAGTTGGGAGTGGCCGTCAGTGAAAATGCAATCCAAATTGGCGGTCTGGTGGAAATTCCTCATGGAGTATTATGTACAGTTTAAAAACCCTTAGTTGTTTTTTTTCTTTTTATGAACACCTAGGCAGTGAAAACTGTTATGTTAATACATACATAGACACACCCAAAACATACAAAAATACTATTATTTCAAACTACTAAGAATAGGACAAGTTCAGTTATCTCCATGCTATGACTTTAAGAGCATTACACTGAAACAAACAAGAATTTAAACGACAATTTTTTAATATCCCAGAAATATACCAAAATATACATCTAAGCTTTGGAATTACTGAGGTTAGACTAATGCAAGTGCTGGGTAATCGTACTTAATACACAAGTCTAAGGTTCTGCAGGAAAGAAATTATCTTTGGTATCTGCATCAGGCTAATAATATTAACATTTGGATTTTGCTTTGGGATAGAGCTTGTATGACCCTAGAACCAAACACCCCCCAATCAACTGAGATTAAAAAGATCCATGTAAAAAGTTCCTCCATTTGCAATCCCCCCCCCAAAAAGTTAAAAAGTCACAGGCATCTACCTAGCATAAAAGGTTGAGAAATACAATGCATAGTTGCACAGTGGTGCTGCAAAAATAAAAGAAATCTAGGAAAAAAGGAACTAGAGGAGAAATGAAAAGCTGCTTCTTCTTCTTTCAGGGATTCCTCACAACAGGACAGCCTCTTCCAAGCAGTGACAGGGGGAGGGGGGAAGCTCAGAAGTGCACCTCAGCGTGTATTAATCAACATCACCCAGCCCCCAGAGGGTTAAAGCACCCAGCAGAGCAGCCAATCCTGCACCCAAGTCTTCAGCTCCTCAACCCACCTGCAAAGCCCCTGGCCGTCTGCTCCCAGGGCCTTCGCCACAGATTTCACCCCTGGGGCAGCCAATTTCTGCCTGGGGGGTTTTGGAGGCCAAGCCCCGGGGCAGCACCCCCTCACCTGGGGCAGCCCCCAGGTTGGCCCCCCCAGGCTGGCAGCTGGCGGAGACCCTCGCCCCGGCCAGGCCGGCCTCACAGATGGGCTTGGTGCTGAAGACGCCCTTTGTCTTTGGTTTGTTTGTTTGTTTTGAGTTTATACAATCATTAGGAAATCTTTGGTTTTGGCTGGAAATTTTAAAAGAACAAAACAAAACAAAGAAACCGCCCCCTCCCGACTTATAGCAGCCACCGTGACCTGACAAAGCTTCTCTTTCCCATGGGGGTAGGGGAACTACATTCAAATAAAGATGGACCGGGTTAAGGATGCAGCTTCTGGCCAGGTTGGGGAGCAGGGAAGGGATACAGGATTGTCAAATAATAAAGAAGAAAATTAAATATTTGGAGACATCTTTTTATTTTTTTTATCTTTTTTTTCTTTTTTTTTTTTTTTTTTTTTTTTTTCTAGCGTGATAAATTAAGTATCTTATGGTTGTATGTAAAGCTCTGCCGGAGAATATTCACCAGCAGACCGACACAGTTTTAAGACAGATCAGCGTTTTGGTCTGAGCTACTTGACAATGTCCTGTTTGGTAGAGAGATGAAATAAGGCAGAGGGGGTATGTTCCAGTTCTGGGACTGAGCCTCAGCAGCACTAAGGAACGCCAAAGGGTATCGTCTTCCCTCGCCTCCCACAAGCTGTTTCATTTCCTTCCTCAGATTTGTTTTCCTTAAAGCACACCTTGTTTTCCACTTCTTTTGTTCCAAGTGCTCTTTTCTTTGAGAAGTCATTTCTTCAATATCCCTATTACCTATCTATAAATCTAACTAGCTCTTTGAAAAGTCACACAATATTAATACCACTTTTACATAATGTCAGAACAACAATTCTATTAGTAAAGCTTTCAGTGAAGTTCTGCAACCCGATTGGTGTCCAGAGGAAGAGTAGCTGGACAACCCACCTCTCCCCCTTCCTTCCTCCCTCCCTC